CTCTGTCTCTGTGTGAGTGTGTGAGTGTGTGTGTGTAAGAACTTGTAGAGTTAATTCTTTACTTCCGTCACACAAACTCTGGAGTTGAACAGGTTGTCAGGCTTGGCAGCGAGCTCATTTACCTGCTGTCTCCTGGCTCTCTTGAGACATTTTCTGTCAGAATATCCTTTGATATAAGGTCTTTCGCTGGCCAGGATATCCCCAAGTAGGGTAGGCTGGCTGTCCAGCAGGCCCCAGGAGTCTGCTGTATGTGCCTCCCCGTGTTGGGACCACTTGTCCACACCACCATATCTAACTAGGCATCTGTCCTGCTTTGAGGTTTTGATAGTCAAAGCTTTTTATGGAGTCATAAGGAAATAGTGTTTTCCAGTCCTGTGTGGCATGTCACATCCTCGCCCTGAACATTTCTGAGGCTCCTGTGTGCAAATCAGCCTTCTATTTTACCTGGGTTAAACCCACCACCCCAGCATTCACCAAGACACAGGAAGACAATGTGACTGAAATTAAGAAGAGAGAGGTAACCCTGAACAGGGCAAATCTGTGTCTAGAGGGGACACCTAAGCAAGAGGCATGATGGGTAGGAGCAGACACATGTCACAAGTCCACAAAGAGGGGACAGAGCCGTCCAGTGACCACTGTGGGGCCTCAGAGAAACAAAAAGTCCAGGCCCATAGTGGGAGGGCCAGTGATACGTGCTTACGGAACACTCGGCGCGCGTGGGCGCACACACACACACACACACACACACACACACACTCTCATACCTCCTAAGTGCAGCTGAACATAGGCCATTCTTTGTATTTTGTCTCTTTCACTTTGAGCCAGAATGACTGCCTCTGGAATATTTTTTGAAGATTTATTTATTTATTATTGATGTATGTGAGTGTTTTGTATATGTGTGCATGTCTGATGCACACAGAAGAAGGCTTCACATGTCCTGGGACTTGAGTGAAAAATGGTTGTGAGCCACCATGTGGGTGCTGGGAATAGACCATCATCTGGTAACAGCCTTTAACTGATGAGCCAATGCTCTGGCCAGAATCATGAAACTCATCTGTACATACAAGTGTGTCTGGTAATGCCAACAGCTTCTTGCTGAATATCCAGGGGAGAGGCAAAAACAAAACAAAACAAAACAAAACAAAAAACATTTTGGCCTTTCTTTTCCAATCGGCCATTTAAAGTAATCACTGCAAGGGCATCACTAACTGTAAAAATGTATTTAGTATGTGTATATACGTGGGCGTGCTGTAGCGGTCAGGCAGCAGCCTTTGCCATTCCTCAGGAACTTCCCATCCTGCCTGAGACAGGTCTCTAACTTGCATGTGAGGCTCAGGGATTCAGCTGGGCTGGCTAGCCCGCTGTCCCCGAGGACCCTCTGTGCCCAGGTTTTCCCAGGGTCTAGGGGTCAGCCTCAGGGCCCCATGGTTACACAGCTGACTGAGTGAGCTGTCGCCCACCACAGGGCGTCACTTTCTAGGATTAAGTTTTGCTTTTTGTTCAGTGAGTGGTACAAGATGGAACAAATTGATTCCATTGGAAAACCCATAACTCGGTTAAGATTCAACTCTGTTGTCAGGACCTGTACACGTGTCAGCGACTCGTTTGAGGGAGGTTTCAGTCAACTTGAACCACCTTTCCTCAGTTGGCAGTTGTCACGAAGGGTGTACATTGATGGTGACCCCAGACCAGAAGCGGCAGACTGTGGTCTCAGTGGCTGTCTAGAATACAGAGGGCACCATGCTCTAAAAAGAGGACAAACCACTTCCCGTCCGTGCTGGCTGAGGGCGACAGAATCCTGTGGGCCAGAACTGAGCAGCTTTGAATCTCTCTCCTCAGTTTAGAAACAAACCAGATAATATTTGCAGGCAGCAGATTGAGATAAGGCATTGCTCTAACTGCCAAGAAACAAAATTAGAACAAGTGACTTTTAGCTGATGGCTTGATGGCATCTGTGTCCGTGTGTGTGATGTCTGAACATAGAGTCTGTTCTTTTCCCCATCAGCCATCGAGTCTAGGGGTACACGTGCACCTGTGTGTAGACAGAGGCACATCTGCCTTTAGTATCAAAAACGTTGCTTCAGGGACGGGAGCTGTGGCCCAGTGACAAAGCCTTGGATTCTATTTCCAAAGCAAATCAGTGAGGCATGGCTGTACAACGCTGTAATCTCAGCACTCAGGAGATGGAGGAAGGAGGACTGAGTTCAAAACCAGTGAGATCTTGTTTCTAATAATAACAATAATGATAATAATAATGAGGTGTGCCACTCTCTGGCCTTCCTGTTAGAGGCTGCAGAGGGTGGGCTGGGGAGCCCGGCAGCTCCTTGGCTCAGACCCACACTGACTGGAAGCCCTGCCCACTTCCTGTTCTCTGCTGCTCTGGACCCTTTGCTTCTGCCACCCTGTCCCCTCACCCAGCTTCTCTTGGTCCCCGAATGAGGCTTTGTGAGAGAGGACCTGACTGGCGTAGCTTGGGATCCCCCTGAATCAGCCTCCCTTGTTCTGGGATTTATAAGCACAGGCCACCATGCTTGGCTTTCACGAGCCATCGTCATGTTGCTCTTTAGTGGCTACTGCACCGTTTCCGTGCTTGTGGTGACTTGGTGCTTCACACAGTCTCAGCCTAGTGTGAGCAGAGGGAGAGAGAGCTGAGTTCCATGCAGAGCCTAACTTGTCCAGCTCCATGACCTTAGATAAATTCCCTTCTCTTTCTCAGCCACAGACATCCTTCTGTTCAATGTTCTAGTCCAGAGTGTTGAAGGGTCATCGGGCAAAGGTTAGGTGCTGCTGGTGCCCAGCGCAGACTGGACATTTAGCTCAGGCCTGGCCCCTCTCCTCCCGGTCCTTCCCATGGTTCTTTAACTAAACATTGTACACATTTGCTGTGGCAGCTTCCAAACCTACTCCAGCTCTCTCTGTTCCCTGGAGCTTCCTGCTGCTAAATCTAGTCTTTCCTTGATCCCTTAGCTCTCAGCTTTCTGTAGAAGCGACACCATTCCCTCTGTTCAGCTTTGGATCCCCCTGGCTCTCTCAGTGTTCGTCAAAGCCTCTTTAACCTCTCCTGCTGACCCTCAGGATGGGGACTTGCCATCCCTGACTCTCCCACAAAGCAGAGTACTAATTTGCAAATGTATCTTTGGCCTGAGCTGCCCACCTTGGAAGCAGTCAACCAGCTGTGGCAAAGGTTATGGGCCTGTGTCTCCTCCCACTGAGCCATCAGTAAATACCCAGTATGCTAAGACTTAAGAGTGAAGTGATTGTGAAATATCAGAGAGACACAGAGAACTTTCATTCATATGTAGACTGACCTTGAACTTCTGAGATTTCCACCTTTACTGCCCAAGCGCTGGGATTAAAAGTGTGCTCCTCTACATCCAGTTCTCTTTAAAAGTAGAGCTTGAGGCTGAAGAGCCGGCTCAGTGGATAAAAGTGCTTGCTGTTCTTGCAAGGACCAGGGTTCTGTTCACAGGTGCCATACAACCACCTGTAACTCTAGTTCCAAGGGATCCTGCCCCGTCCACGGGTCTGTGGGCATCTGAGCCACCTGGTGCGTCTAAACACACTTGGGAGCAAAGATAAACACATGAGTAAAAGTAACCTTTAGCTGTCTACTCCATACTTACACACCCGCGCACACACACACACACACACACACACACACACACACACACACACACAC